AGGTTAAGCAATCTATAAACAATTTAACTACATCTGAATATACTTTGAAACATTTGTTTGTTCATGTTGTTGAGTGACAAGTGATGAGATGAAATCATTTTTTGTTTAGGGTAAAAAATATAATTGCATGTCACATGGAGATATAATAATTTGATTAATGGGTTGTACAAATAGTAGAATTGCGGTAGTTGATACTTAGAAAAATATGAGCAAATAAATAGTAATGAAATACAAAATAATTGTAATGATTTCTTTTTGTATTTAATTTAAATGGAACATTTAACGAAATACAACCCAAGTCTACTATTCATTTAATCTATTTTTTTCTTTTTAATATTATCAATATAATAAAATAATAGAAATTATTAATCATTACTACATATTTTTCAATAAAGTTCACAATTCATCTACTCAAATATTTTACATTCCTAATCATCGTACAATCATATTAGTGTTGTATTAAAAAAAAAAAAATCACTTTATTCAATAAATTAAACCCAATAAAAAATAATCTCATCGCATATCACATTTTCAAAGTTTTTTTTTTCCCACAAAATTTCTTTTTTCTTTGTTTTTTTCTCAGACGGGTTAGCCTTAAAAATTTAATGCTTTTAACTATTCAATTTGTACACCCGCCCGATGTCTTCAAGTATACGATAGCCTCATCAAGTTACAGTATTCCAACAAAAATACAAAAACAAGAAACGAAGACTGAATTAAAAATCTCCATTTTACACTTTTCAGGTATCATCACCAATAATCTCCACAGTTACAAGCTCCCCCCTGGAAATGGTGAAACCGGTTAGGATCCCGCAAGATAATCAATCTCCCCACGACCTTCGCCACGTGCTTAGCCGCCGTATGGCAGTCCTCGCAAACCCTCAAGTTCTTGAAAACTCGAACGGGCCCACAGCCCGGGATCCGCATAATCCCATACGCAATCGCCAGCTTTTCGCTGTGGTACTTTAGCATGTGCTGCTTTTCCTCTTCCTCCACATCGTGCAGCACAATCTTCGTGGCCGACACATAACCGTCCTCTTTAATCCGCAACTCCAGCTCATCCAAGAACTCGTAAATCCTCTCACTCTCTGCATGCGACGTGTCCCCAACACAGAACGTGTGGATAACGCCTTGCACCTCGACCCAGCTGTAACCGGGCGATTTATTGGCCCCAACATCCCTCATTTTTAACCGCATCTTATTCACATCGGCCCACCTGCCAGTGGAAGCGTACAAGTTAGAAAGCAGGACGTACATGCCCGTGTTCCAGGGCTCGAGTGCGAAGATCATGCGGGCAGCTTTTTCTCCCAGGGCCGTGTTGCCGTGTATACGGCTGGCGCCGAGGAGGGCGCCCCATGTGGCTGGGTCGGGCTCCGAGGGTATTTTGGTCATTAGGTTTTGGGCCTCGTCCAGGCGGCCTGCTCGGCCGAGGAGGTCGATCATGCAAGTGTAGTGCTTTGAATTAGGGGATATGCCGTAATCTTGTGTCATCGAGTAAAACTGGCGTCTGCCTCTTTCTATTAACCCGGTATGGCTGCAGGCAGAGAGGACACCCACCTATATTAATTAATGCGAAAATATGGAAAAAGTGAATAAAGAGAGTAAGTAGATCTTCAGAAAGCAACACAAAGGGTTCATGTGATTCTTACATTTTTTGTGATATATGATCTATTTTTGGGGGAGTAGGGAAAAATACAGAGAAACTTCCACACTGGACTGTATTTAGTTATACATGGATAAAGTTTACAGAATTTTGGTCAGGAGATAAAGTAGTAAATGTTTGTTTTCGTTTGCACAAGGGAGAAGACATTAAACTTCTCATTAAAAAAAAAAAATACTTATTTTCCCTTGTCTGCCATAATTTTGTGGGTACACAAGATACCTACAGAGAAAAATATAAGAAAAACTCAAAAGAGTGGTTGTTGAGTCTGAGGAAGGCTTTGGTGACCTTCACACCTCAAATCCCTAACTCACGTTCTTATATAACAGAAAATGACAAAGAATGGAGCTCCTGGCACTTTACCAAAGTGAAAATTCCAAAATTACTAAACTTAATAGTCCAAATTGTTAAATAGGCATATAAATGGAGCTCCTCGCACTTTAGCATCAGTAGAAATCCTAATAAGCTCAGAACAAACTCATTGAACAACAGTATTATTGTCAACAAAAATCAAGAAACAGAAATTACAAACAAAATTCATAAGAAAAGGAGCTTACCATGGTAACTTCATCCGGCTGAACACGTTCCCTCTTCATTGCTTCAAAATGCTCGAGAGCCTCTGCCCCGAAACCGTGCCTTGCATAACCAATAATGATTGTGTTCCACGACACCACATCCTTATCCTTGATACTTCCGAATATCTCTCGCGCCTCGTCTATGCTCCCGCATCTGCAGTACATGGCAAGAAGCGCATTTCCCACAAAACACCCGAATTCGAACCCCACCTTCACCAAGTTCCCGTGCACCTGCTTCCCAAGCCCAAAGGCAGCTATATCCGCACACGTGCTCAAAATACACGTGAAAGCAGACCTGTTCAGTAGCAGATCCAGAATTTTGAACTGGGCATGCAATGCAATGGATAATGAATAATTATTAATAAAAACTAACTAAAAATTGAGAACAAATTTATCACTAATTTAACCAAATAACCAACAGAAATTATACTATTAATAATTAATTAAAAGAGAAAAATATTTACACTGGAGACAAGAAAGATTTTTGTTCTTGATTAAACACAGGAGACCAGAAAGATTTTTTGTTTGTTTGTTTGTTTATTTTTATTTTCAGCATTATAAAAAATATTGAGGTTTTGTCATTTTTGGGCATCCACCTGTTCAAACGCTCGCCCGCCCTCTTCATCTCGATAAACACACCCAATGCCTTCTCTCCCTCACCATTCTGAGCGTACCCAGCTATGATTGCAGCCCACGAGACACAATCCCGGTTCGACATCATACTGAATAAATCCCACGCACGAGCCATATTCCCTCTCTGAGCATACCCCGTTATCATTGTGTTCCAAGACACCACATTTCTAAACGGCATGACCTCAAACAGCTCCGTTGCCGCATTCATGTCCTTCTCCTGCACGTAACCTGTTATCATCGCATTCCAAGACACGACATTCTTGTCGGGCATTTCGTCAAACACCTGTCTCGCTTCACGCAACCTCCCATTCTGCACGTAACCTGAAACCATAGCCGTCCATGTGAACACATCCTTAGTCGGGGATTTTTCAAACAGTTCTCTTGCCTCGTCCATTTTCCCACTTTGCGCATAGCACGTGATTATCATGTTCCAGGAGATTACGTCCCGCACGGGCATGCGGTCGAAGATCCGCATGGCCTCATCCAGTTCCTTCCTCTTCAAGTAGCCGCTCATCAAACAATTCCAGGAAGCCACCGGCCAGAAGACCCTGCACTCAAACAGAGCCCTCGCCTCCTCTATTTTCCCTGTATGAACATAAGCAGAGAGAATCCCATTCCAAGAGATCTCGTCCTTCTCAGGCATGCAGTCGAAAACTCGCCGGGCCTCGTCCACGAGCCCCCTGTCCGCGTACCCGGATAAAATTGCGTTCCACGAGACGATGTTTTTCACGGGCATTTCATTGAACATTCTCTGAGCAGCCCCGAGGTTGCCACTCTTGACGTATTGACTCATCATTATGTTGCCGGTGACCACATCCCTTTGGGGCATTTTCTCGAACATGTGGTGGGCAAGCCCGATTTCGCCGTTTGAAAGGTAGCCGGATATCATGGTGTTGTAGGAGACCGTCGTTTTGCGGGGCATAGAGTCGAACAGGCGCCGGGCAAGGTCGCATTGGCCTCTGCGCATGTGTTTGGCGATGGCTATGTTGCATCGCACTATGTCCGGGTCGGTGGTTTGAGGAGGGTTGGGAATGGGCGGTTTGGGAAGGCGGCCGATATTGCGGCCAAAAGGCGGAGATGAGATCGGCTCGGGGGCGGTGGTTCTGTTTCGCGACGGGTATGAGGTGGTGGTGCCTAGCTGTTTGGAACGCACGGCATGGATTGGGAGAGACGAGACTTTCATTTCCCATCACCTGTGAATACGCTTACTGCATAATTACATTGAATTAGTTTTTGGCACGACGCTGATAAATGTATAGTTAACTAATCCCAAATGGTTAGGTCGCTCAATTATGACTAGGAACGTTCAATCGGTTAAAACCAAATCGAACCGACGGAAATTTCGGTTTGTCCAACCTAAAAACCGAAAATCGAATCGAAATTTACGGTTCGGTTCTAAACTGAAAATCCATTGGTTGGATCGATTTGATTATCGGTTATCCGGTAAAATTGAGAAATGACAAAAATA